GTTACATTCAGCCAGGAAAAGAAGAAACGTTAAACTTGTATATTGTTACATTCAGCCAGGAAAAGAAGAGATGTTAAACTTACCTATTGTTACATTCAGCCAGGAAAAGAAGAAACGTTAAACTTGCATATTGTTACATTCAGTTATGGAAAGGAGAAGCGGTTAAAAAATTGCATACCGCCAGAAAAAGGTGAAACGATTAAAAACTTGCATATTGTTGCAATTCAGTCATGAAAAGGAGAGACGGTTAAACTTACATATTGTTACATTCAGTCATGGAAAGGAGAGACGGTTAAAACTTACACATCGATACATTCAGTCATGGAAAGGAGAGACGGTTAAAACTTACACATCGTTACATACCGCCAGATAAAGGAGAGACGATTAAAAACTTGCATATTTTTACATACCGCCAGAAAAAGGAGAAACGATTAAAAACTTGCATATTGTTACATTCAGTCATGGAAAGGAGAGACGGTTAAAAATGAATAAACTGATTTAACATTTATTCAGAGTAGAAATGTTGTATCTTGATATTATTTAACGATTGATTGGAATGTTGAAAAATAACGTTATTGTGAACGTAAGTTTCTGTTATTTTTATTTGAGAAGATTCGAACAATCATTACGGTTTAAAATTAGCATCCTGATTATTCCATGCAGTGAAGCAGATATTAGTGGACATTTCACATACAAACAAAAATTTATAACTGAAAATCCAGTAAGACAAGGTATCAGTAAAGTAACCAACAGTTAGGTGAGAAGTGGTAAAACGGAAGCAGAAATAGCGGTATCTGAATAAAGCTTATGATTGAAACATTTATATAGGGAATCAAGGTAGCTGTCAAATCTTTGGAAATCGGAAGACTTCATGTTTCCAGAGCAGTTCTCCTGGAACTGAAACAGGTGAGCAAGACTTGTGTTTAACTCATGCTCTTACTTCTTGTATCTCAACAGGTGAGCAAGGCTTTTGTTTAACTCACGCTCTTACTTCATATATCTCAACAGATGAGCAAGGTTTTTTCTTAATTCACGCTCTTCTTGTATCTCAACAGATGATCAAGGCTTTTATTTAACTCCGCTCATATTTCATCACAGTGCTTAATACTACAACATATATCAATGTTATTCCTTTTATGTCTTCTTTTTTGTAAGCTTTCGAAAATTATGGGTTTGTATACTATTATATCGTAGGAACAGAAGAAATCCACGAATGCCTTAATCTTCAAATTACCTAATTGTTTTTATACCATTTGTATACTAGTGAAGTCCACATATCGCACAATTTTATGTTTTTGCCTGTTACAAACTCGGTGTAAAATATAAAAAACGGAGCAACAAGTTAAGTAAAAACATTCATTTTCTATGCAAAATATATAAGAAAGCTCAGTATAACTAATGGAATTAATTTCAGCGTTGATGAAAATTTTGTTTACATTTTTATTTGTGACTCTTGTAATATTTGGGATCCTCTGATAGGAAAACTTCATCAATCCACAAGTAATTGAATAAATAAATAGTTTATAAAATGTATTTAAAAATCCGATTGTAGATCTAGTTGGTATTTTTAGGGTTAAATAATTAAGTTAGAGGGTTATTAATTTATATTTCATTCCTATCATTGTTCCCACGTACTCTTCTTGTACGTTTAAAGCGCTAGTTACTAAGGGTCTCGAAAGATGGCGAAAAGAACATCTGTTTCTTACTTGTGAATAACTTGCAAAAACTTAGCTGTAAAAGGTTTTAATTACATGTTTTAATGAAATAATGTAATCAGTTGTACAACGTTGATTGGTGTAGTTAGTGTTTGTTTGTTTGTTTTCTATTGTTAACTGTTTTATTTCATGTGAATTTCAGATAAGAAACATTACCCACGAGAATCTGGTACGTTTTGTAGGTTTCTGTCCAGACGAGCCAAATATTGCTCTCCTTTCGGAATTCATTTCCAGAGGGAGTCTACGGGTAAAATGCTTGTCTAAATTAGAATAGTAATAATAATAAAAGTAATTACTGCATGTCCCTCACGTTTAGACCATACATATATAGTCAGAACCTGACTTGTTACCTTGGTTTAAATTATATAGTTAATGTCTTCGTTAAGTGATACAAGTTTCGACATTAATTCCTAATGACGACGATAGTTAATAACAAACATAATGTAGACTAGTTTTAGACTATTCTAGTTGAATAATATCTTGTGAACTTTAGCAACGCCATATAATACTACTAGACCACTGTGACCCGTTGGGTCACCCACTATTCAGAGGTTATGAATAATTCAAGCTAATTTCAATATTGCACCGAAATGAAGGCTTATTTTGAGATAATTTAATTAAATATTTCAATCCATTCGTGTTATTCATAATTCAAGAAAATATATTTGCTTGTTGATCGGGAGTAAAACGAACGACCATTTCATTTTTCAAAAAAGTGAAGTAAGAAGTTTCGCGAACGGTAGTGTGATGTAAAATTACTCATGCTAGAAATAAAAGTGACCCGAAATTATTTCTTATCACACGGTCTCTAATATACACCATAGTAACAGTTGGGCCCGTTGGGTCACCCACTATTTAGAGATTATGAAGAATTCAAGCTAATTTTAATATTTAACGAAACTTCTTTTATTCTGTTTCTATTCTCATTTCATTACAAATATGGCGCTATTGTGCGCCGTTTTTGCTGTATTTAATTATGGACAAACAATCTCAGAGTTTTATTAAGATATAGATAGATAGACCGATATGTGGCGCCATCTGGTGTACCTACATTCATCTAGAAATGTTCATAAAAGTGACCCGAAAAACGGCGCTAACTCTGTAACCCGTGGCCCGATTGTGCGCCGTTTTTGCTGTATTTAATTACAGACAAGCACACAAACAATCTCAGAGTTTTAGTAGTATATAGCTAAATCACATTTCAATCTTGTTGTTCAAGGTTACAAAATACAATAAGACCCGCTGGTTATATATTTTATCAACGATATATATAACATTCTGGTATCAAAGATTGTTGTTGGGGATTAAAAGAACGGTGCTGTTTTTCTTTAGTAATTAACTATTTTTTACTGAAGTCGTTCTTGTTAATCTAATTTAATCTAAATTATCTCTGTCTCAATAAACCTACTGGGCCTACGTCACAAATATCACTAACAGAGAGGGTACCTAACTTATGAAATAATGCAGTCTAATCCTTATGTAAGGTAGGAACAGTTTATTTAATTGGCTATACTCACTACCTTGTTGATTTATTTCATTTTAATCTAAGAAGGTAGCCTGCTTTGATTAAAATTAGTGTTATTTGTTTCCGTAAACACCAAAAACGTTTGTATGAATATGTTTTTAACAGCAACATATAATTTTATGAGAGAGAGAAAAATATATTTTTTAACTTGAGATATCAGTTTTAGCATAACTACTTTTTTTTAGAAATTTAAATTTACTTTTAAATTTCCCCTTCTTCAATAAAGGTACTGGGCTTGTGTCAATATCTTTAGTTCTTTGCTTAATACCCCCAGTGGTACAGCGATATGTCTGCGGACTTACAACGCTAGAATTCGGGTTTCGATACCCGTGGTGGGCAAAACTCAGATAGCCATTGTGTAGCTTTGTGCTTAACTTCAAACAAACAAATATTTACTTAATGAAACTACAAAACGAGGGTTCGGTTAAGTTGTTTTGAAGGTCGCTATTTAACTTTACACCCATATTCTACAATACTGTAACATAATAACTGTTGCGACATATTGTGAATAAGCTCTAAATGTATTATTAAATATCGCAGGATCTTCTTGATAACGACGTCATCAAGATCGACTGGCCTTTTCGATTTTCAATTATAAATGACATTTTGGAGGTAGGTGAAGTATTGTCCTTATATGTTGTTCTTATGCGCTACAAAAACCAAGAAAAATAAAGTTGAACGAAAACAAAACTCAATAGATTAAGACAGCTTAATACCAAAAGAAAAATTTAAAGACACGTGCTAAACATTGTACGCGTGTAATTAAGGTTACGGTAAGCCTGAAAATATATCGTGAGGTTCAGAATTAAAATAGATAAGGTGTTGTATCGAAAAGTTACAGGTAATTTTTAATTTTGAAATTTACAATAGTATAGAAACATTTACTGGTAACCTAAGTCACAGGTTCTCAGCCTTTTTGAATTCATTGAACTTTTCTGGCGTGAAATTTGTGTCACAGAACCCTCCACAGCGTTCATTACAAAAAATATTACTGCATTACTAGATCCTGTTTGTACCTAATATCTCTCGCCAATTTAAAACAATGCAGTGACTTGTTATTATGTTGTGTAGTTATGCTATTCTAATAAAGAAATATGATGTAGTCAGATTGCAATTATATGACTAGTATGCATTTTGCATTAGAATATATGGAACTTTTGCATTTTGCATTAGAATATGTGGAACTTTTGCATTTCGCAGAACCTTGCGGGATCTCATTATCTCGCAGAACCCCTGGATGTCTTTCAAGGAACCCCGGGTGAGAAGCACTGACCTAAGCCGTTTGGGATTTTAGAGTAAAGATGGCTACAGATTATAAATTAGATAATTCTGAGCATTTTGGTAACTTATCTGTTTTGTTAAATTTAGCGCAAAACTACCCGATGGCTATCTGAGCTAGCCTAGTTTAAAAGTGGTAGACTTGAGAGAAGGTACCACCAACTTTGTTTTAATAGAGTAGGGGATTTGACTGTCACATTATAACGGTACCAGGAGCACGTTCGATGATGAGATTCGAACCCGCAGACTGTGTGTCGAGCGTTCTCACCAGCAGGCTTACGAAAAATTAATTGCTACTTCAAAAAATACAGATTTTATTTGTTGTTAACTACAAAGTTGCGCAATGCGCTAACTGTGCTAAGCCAAACGCAGATATAGAGCCCCAAATGTTAGCGTTATTATCCTTCAAACTTACCGCTGAGACACTTGGTGGTAAGACAAAATCAGCAAAGATCGTGTTTATAAATATAAGAGGTTTCAAAGGAAAATAAAAGGATGAATAATAAGCATGTCCAAGGGCTCGGATATAAATTAAATGATGTATAGGATGCTTTCGAATAAACCACGAAGGAAATATAGAAAAAAGTTTGAGATATACAACGTTGCGTTGCTTTTAGAACAACAGATATTCGATAAATAAAGGATCTCTAGATTGCCATAATTCAAAAAAGACTTATGGAGCACGAAGGGGAGAAAAGAAATTGTAATGATGAAGTTGTCACAGAACAAGACATAAAGATGTCAAGATTGCGATGATAGAAGAGGATGTGACTTTTTCACAATGAACATGATACAGAAAGTCACGTAAAAGGCTTAGCAAACATAATAGACAAGTTTCACGCTCATTCTTGTCAGCATGTGCTCTGGAATGTTAACTAACAACTAACTATTCCAGTTACCAAAACCAGGCCATTTAATACAACAATATCTAGAAGAACAACCACAATTACCAAAACCAAATACCATGTCAACATATCTGGTATTGCCTTACGTGTAATTACCTCAATAATTACAAGTCCATTTCCACGTCACTTAAGAATAGATTTGATTTATTTTGAATTTCGCGCAAAGCTACACGAGGGCTATTTGCGCTACCCGTCCCCAATTTAGTGCTGATAGACTAGAGGGAAGGTATCCAGTCAACACCACCCACCGCCAACTCTTGGACTACTCTTTTTTCATTTTACGAACGAATAGTACGATTGACTGTCACATTATAAAGCCCCCACGGCTGGAAGGACGAGCATGTTCGAACCCGCGACCCTCAGATTGCGAGTCGAGCGCCCTAACCGCTAGGCCAAGCTAGGCCATCTTAACAATAGAAAATCTGGAGTTCCATAAAAGAATGTCTGTTTGTTTTGAATTTCGCGCAAAGCTACACGAGGGCTATCTGCGCTAGCCGTCCCTAATTTAGCAGTGTAAGACTAGAGGGAAGACAACTAGTCATCACCTGGTTTCGAAACCCATGGTGGGCAGAACACAGATAGCCCAATGTGTGGCTTTGTGGTTAATTCCAAACAAAACAAATTTACGAGATTAGATGAAAAATCCCTAATGAACTATGTGTTACTTTCAAAATTAAAAAACGAGCATTAAATGACTATTCAGAGAAATAGTTGTTGTTTTTTCAGCTGGGAGAGAAGCATTAATATCGGAATATGTATACAACAAACCTACGAGAAGCATTAATACCGGAACATGTATACACCAAGCCTGATGAGAATCGTTAATATTGGAGCATGTATACACCAAACCTGATGAGAATCGTTAATACTGGAACATGTATACGCCAAACCTGATGAGAATCGTTAATATTGGAACATGTATACGCCAAACCTGATGAGAATCATTAATACTGTAACATTTGTACGCCAAACCTGATGAGAATCGTTAATATTGGAGCATTTGTACGCCAAACCTGATGAGAATCGTTAATATTGGAGCATGTATACGCCAAACCTGATGAGAATCGTTAATACTGGAACATGTATACGCCAAACCTGATGAGAATCGTTAATACTGGAACATGTATTCGCCAAACCTGATGAGAATCGTTAATACTGGAACATGTATTCGCCAAACCTGATATTAAAGTTCGGGTAGTCGCCACAAGGAAATCTAACAATCTTAATAAACCTGCAAGGCAGAAAAATATTATGAGGATTATAAGTACAACAACCTATTCAATCACTGCCAACAAATACATAAACTTCAAAAATATAGAACACTGAAAACTTTATTGCAATACAAGAGTAGAGATTATAAAAGGAAGAAAGCGGATAGTTGATACTTTTAGAGTGAATTTCAAGTATTCAGATTGAGAGAAATGGCTTCTATCTCATGCACAGGAGATCTAATAAATGATTTGAAGAAATCTAATTACATTTATGATATGTTTATTGAATGACAAGGCTCTTAGTTAAGTCGAGCACCGTATAAATAATCTGAGTTAGTTGATTTAAATACTATTAGAGGAGACTCACACGAGTGGATAGCAAACCATCATTACATAGGATATAGCCCCCACCTATTATCATCACAGAAATAGTCCTTCTCTGAATCTTGCTGAAGAAAGTAGCAGTTTGGCATTAGAAACATGGGAAAATATTAGTAATCACTACATATTAATTAAATAGATGCATATATACATAAATAAGTAACTGCTAATTATTGATTTAATATATATATATTAGTAACTAACTTATATTAGCTTTAGATGATCGTGTAGGCTACTATGACAACGGTGAGAAAGAATTGGTTTAAAGGTTGTAAGAGTGTTAGGGTGTAATGAGGATATATAAGAAGCTAGAAAGTCCTAGTAATTAGATTTCAGAGTAATTAATTAATTAATTATAAGTGGATTATTTGTTATATGATCAAGTAGAACCCTAACAGAGCCTGTAAGGTTTGCTAAGTATCCAAACAGCCTTTTAGTTCCGAAAAGAAATACGTTGTTCTGTTGAATAGTGAAGCTTACAGAAGTAAGTCGTTGCAACTTAATTTTCTTAATAATCCTACAAATCAATTCCTATGTCTCAGTATAGCTAAGAGTCGTCTGTTAATCAGCAATAAATCCAGTTAAAAGCCAAGTTCAGTGTTACAAGTATTTTACCTATGGAGAGTAGTTATCTATAAATATACTTTTCCAAGTGTTTTTACTTATTACAGTGTTTTCGTACACATAATTTCTTTTCAGACACATTGTGCTACTATATTAAGAGTAAAAATCACAAAATCCGGCGTTTTTGGCACAATGAAAGGTAAAAACCTTTATTATTAATTAAATCCGATTAGTTTCGGTAACGCTTTCTTTTTACTAGCCCTGATGATGGAAGGTAGGTAATATACAGACATCGAAACTATAAGTTCATATAATAAGCATTTTGTTACATAGAAAAATATATATAGATATTTACCATCATTTCAGTCCCAACTATACACTAGTTTCAATAAAATAAAGTATGTCTATTTTCTTAGGTAACTCCCGTCAGTAGAAACATTTGGAATATTTGTCTATAGATTACTTGCCTTCCATAACTAAAAACATGTGTAGGAAATACTGTAATTAATATAAACATTTGAAAAAGATGGTGTACACTTTGCATTGTTATCTAGTTAATTCCAGAAACAATTACGTTAACTAACAAAATGTTTTAAAAACTTGTAGCCGGATATATTTATATAAATATTAGCTTTTCCTTCCATTTATTATACATATCGTCTAACTTCAGTCATGTGATATTTTTTTTATAGAGTTATAACAAAAACGAACTTTTAGATAACGATTTATTTTATATTTTAGGGACTTGCATTTCTTCACAATAGTCCTATCGGTTTTCATGGTCACTTAAAGTCCACCAACTGTGTGATTGACGGAAGATTTATGGTGAAAATAACAGATTATGGTCTGTTATCTCTGTTGGCACAAGTTATTCCGGATAATCGTCCAAATCCACGTGCGTATAACGTGATGAAGATAAAGTTCTTAACATTTCTAAAAGAAAGAAAAACTTGGTCGGTATTTTCATCAGCTCTAGAATAAGATCGTTTGTTCAAAACCTTGACCAGTTTTACTTCTCCCTCATAAAAGTTTAGAAGCACTTTTACTCATTTTAGGTTATCACACCATTGTAGCTGCATTATATTATCACACCATTGTAGCTGCATTAGATTATCACACCATTGTAGCTGCATTAGATTATCACACCATTGTAGCTGCATTAGATTATCACACCATTGTAGCTGCATTAGATTATCACACCATTGTAGCTGCATTAGATTTTCACACCATTGTAGCTGCATTAAATTTTCACACTATTGTAGCTGCATTAAATTTTCACACTATTGTAGCTGCATTAGATTTTCACACTATTGTAGCTGCATTAGATTTTTCACACCATTGTAGCTGCATTAGATTTTCACACCATTGTAGCTGCATTAGATTTTCTTGCTATTTTCATTATAAACCGAAAAAGTTCATTTTGCATGTTTAATGGCAGATTCACGAACTTGGCATATTCCAGTGTAAACTTTCCACGAGTAATGGTGCTTCTGCCTGTTATATCTCTTCTTGTTTTAATACGTATTATCATAAAGTATACAAATACTTTTATCATGTATTGATTTCCATACACGGTTTCGTCATTTCAGAAAAACTGAGTTTGTTCATATGCAGAACTGTCCGTCAGTGGATAGAGGATGGCTTTAGAGTCACGTGTTGTTTTTTATGTCTAGAAACTTTGCTGTGGACAGCACCAGAACATCTACGTAATAAGATCTTTGGTCAGTATGGCTCAGAAAAGGGTGATATTTACAGCTTTGCCATCATTTTACAAGAAATCGTCACCAGATTGCAGCCTTTTGAAAGATCCGAAAAAGAAAATCAAATCTCCCCTAAAGGTAAGCCTGTTAAAGAAGTAATCAAATAAAACAGTGTTGGCCCGAGCATGACCCAGTGCTTAGCATATCGGATAGAGGATCTGAGGTTCGAGACATGGTGATACTAAACGTGCTTTGCCTTTCATCTTTGGATGCATTGTAAAATAAATATGGCCAGGTGGTTAAGGCGCTCGACTCGCAATCTGAGGGTCGCGGGTTCGAATCCCCGTCACATCAAACATGCTCGCCCTTTCAGCCGTGGAGGCGTTATAATGTGACGGTCAATCCCACTATTCGTTGGTAAAAGAGTAGCCCAAGAGTTGGCAGTGGGTGGTGATAACTAGCTGCCTTCCCTCTAGTCTTACACTGCTAAATTAGGGCGGTTAGCGCAGATAGCCCTCGTGTAGCTTTGCGCGAAATTCAAAACAAACAAACAGACATTCTTTTATGAAACTCCAGATTTTCTATTGTTAAGATGGCCTGGTGGTTAGAGCGCTCGACTCGCAATCTGAGGGTCGCGGGTTCGAACATGCTCGTCCTTCCAGCCGTGGGGGCGTTATAATGTGACAGTCAATCGTACTATTCGTTCGTAAAATGTTCTACAGTAATTCCTGTACGCTGAATCCTAAAATGATATCCATTTTTCTCCATCACGTACAGATTTATCACAAAACGTCATATGTACTTTTACATAAGTGAATCATTTTCATTGAAATCGGGTCATATTTTGTTATGCTTAAAATGTTGACAACCATTGGCTATGGATTTCTCTAGACCAATCGCGACGTCAGAGTCTTATCGATCGTTCTAGAACCCATGAGAAGCACACCGCTAGTATATAAACGGTTAACAGGTCGCATGACGTGTCTTTTCTGGATAGTATTTGTTTGTGAGTGCACTTTGACATTATTTTTTTTTCTTTTCAAAATTATTTATTCGTCGCTTTGGCAACAAGAGGTTGTGTAAATGACCCAAACATATTCTGTTATATTTGTGGCAAATTTGTTGTAAATTTGATCTAAGTAAGAGTTGTTTTTTCTTCCCGATTTGTAATAAATCTTTACGTGATAGAAAAAAATGAATATTATTTTCGAAATCTGCGTAGCTGAATTATGGAAGATCCGTTATTAAAACCAAAACAACTTTTATGAAGTTTAAATTCGCAGACCTGTGTTGTTACTAATTTGTTATGTATCTGAAGCCATCTGGTTACCTCTCCTCTGGTCTGCAGTTCTAAATTATGGACGGCTGTGTCTAAACTTGTCTCTGATGTGACTGTTTAAGGTATCTGTCATTCAAGGGAAACATAGAATAAAATATCAGTAACATAGAGTCGTCGTCGTCATTTTATCCCGAAACGTTTATCATCAGAATTAATAAGCAATAAAACAGATTAAAGTACTGTAACTTTGATCTGCGTTGAATTCATCGCAAATCTTTTCGATTTGGTTGTCGACTAACTTAAAACTGTATCGATTAATATGAAGAAAAAACTGCCCACCCGTTCCTGTCATTCTAGTTATATACAACAAACAAGATTTACCTGTCGAACACTGTATAGCTATTCCAGCAACTGTATGTAGAAACGATACACAGAAATGTTCTTCAAACTGATGTTATTTACTTGGTGACTGAAACTGACACAGGCGTGACAAAATCAGAGCATGTATATTTTTGTTATTATTTCAGAATTTATTAAACACTTAAAACTTACAAATACGTCGAAAGAGCTCAGTGCTGCTTGTCAATCGGTGTGTTAAATAGGCGGTGTTACAAATACGTCGAAAGAGCTCAGTGCTGCTGGTTAATCGGTGTGTTAAATAGGCGGTGTTACAAATACGTCGAAAGAGCTCAGTGCTGCCTTGTTAATCGGTGTGTTAAATAGGTGGTGTTACAAATACGTCGAAAGAGCTCAGTGCTGCTTCTTAATCGGTGTGTAAAATAGGCGGTGTTACAAATACGTCGAAAGAGCTCAGTGCTGCTTCTTAATCGGTGTGTAAAATAGGCGGTGTTACAAATACGTCGAAAGAGCTCAGTGCTGCTTCTTAATCGGTGTGTTAAATAGGCAGTGTTTTGTTTTTCTGTTGATTTTGAGAATGTTAGTGTGCTTTCAAGTGAAAATTATCGTATTTTGAATTATCAGTTTCATCTCCTGATAATGATTATTTAGTTCGTAGCCTGTTGATTTTCTGAGCCTGATATCCGTAGTTATAATAAAGACTATATACCATCTAATTGGGCTTTCACCGGTATTTCAGAAATAATTCACAAGGTTAAGGTGGGAACTAAGCCCCCGTTCCGACCTGAGGTTTCCCCCGAAGACTGTCCGTTAGACTTTCTGGATATGTTGTATTCTTGTTGGAGTGAGGATCCAGCATCCAGGCCAAATGTCTCAAGCATAAAACAACAGATGAAGAAACTCAGCAAGTAATAAATTTTAAGTGTTAAAAATGAAATTTTCAGTATTTCAAATATTTTATGTGTAGTTAAAAGTAACAAGCGAAAGCTTTGTAGCAAATACAACACAAAATGTATTACGCGTAAACGAAGGAAATAAACTTGAAAAAAAAATCCTTTGGATACCGAAAACACCAATTATGACTAGTCATTGAAACCAGTGAAATATATTCTAAAATAGCATCTAACTTATTATGATATTCTACGCAAACCATTTTTATCCGCAGGGGAATGGGGAGTGGCAATTTCTTGGACAGTTTACTTAAACGAATGGAACAGTATGCAACCAACTTAGAACAACTGGTAGAAGAAAAAAGCTCCGCTTTTTTGGAAGAGAAGAAAAAAAGTGAAGAGTTACTCTATCAGGTTATTCCAAGGTGACGTAACCGCGAGAAGTTTTAGTCTGATAATAATATGTTTGTATGAAAACTGCGTTTTGTTTTCTATATACTCTAACACTTTACTTTTTTTTATTTACAGTAACATAACATTTGAAATGACATTATGAAGTTAAATATATAAAGTGTAATAAACTTAAAATAAGACCCAAAACTCGAGCGCTTTCAAATAGTTGACTATTCTTCTTCACGAGAACAAGAGAAGAATAGTCAACTATTCGAAAACCCTCGAGTTTAGGGTCTTATTTTAAGTTTATTATGAAGTCAAATGTATTTTCATGGGATATTATGATCATCTTCCTTTTCAAAAGAGTATTTCTACAACAATATTTTGTTTTTATTAGGTGATATAGCTGTGAACAAGTGTAGTACATGTCGTTGTTTATTTTTTGTAACAAGTTGTTGTTTTTCTGCTACGTGATGTTAACATATTATCAGCTGATTCTGAAACACAAACTCATTAACTGTCCTGGAAGTAAGTTTGAGTTTGATTGTATATCACGCGTTTCAAGAGCTGTGTCACAAAAAGAGCTTTGTACAACGACACCTTTAGGAAATGAAAGAAAGTCGCTTAATTACAATTAATTTCGACACGTTTTGAAACCAACTGAATCCTTTTTGAACATCTCTATATGCAGGTTTTGACTAATAAATTAAATCACACCCAATCAAGATTAAAATACTACATGTTTGATATGAACTTTAAGTTAATAACGTTAACTTATACCTCCATTGCTGTACTCTCGGCTGAAAGCGACGTGAATCCCACAATATCGCTAAAAAAGATGGTCACAGATTCAAAGGTTTCAGGCTTAACATGGTGCCCAGCCTTGAGTTGTTCAGCTATGTACCTATGGTTAAAAACAAAGAAACCTGGTGTTACTTGTTTGTTTGTTTTTGAGCAAATCCACATTGGGCTATCTGCTGCGTCCACCGCAGAAAAGTTAGCCCCGGATGTTAGCGCTTAAGTCTGTAAACTTACCACTTTCCCACCGAGGGGACATCTAGAATCTTTCTTGAATACCCTTGACAGTGATTGTACTTTTTGAGATATTATGAAATCAAATCGTTTTGCTTTTCAAAAACCTTCCATTTAGTTTGCCCCCGATGGGACAGCAGTAATTCTACGGACCTACAACGCTAAAAGCCGGGGCTAGATTCCCCGCGATGGACACAGCAGATAGCCCAGTGTGGCTTTGCTCTAAAACACACACACACCCATTAGTTTTCTTGATATATGCAAATTGCTTAATTTTTTATGTATATATATCACATATTTCGTGGTACTCTTCAACTAAAAAGCGATCATGTTGTTAAAAGGATAATGAACTTTAACACTTTTGATTCTAGTATTTCTCGTGAATTTTTGTACATTATTATAAACATCATTCAAACTCTTTTTCTAATTTCTTGTGATTAATTGTGAGGAATTTAATGTAGTTTAATTTTGAAGATAAATTAACTAACTTATATTTTACTAGTCACAAGACTATATGGAATAAGTTGTAGTTACATCGGGTTTTAAAAACAGCCACACAGGATACTCCAGATCTGTTCAACAAATTATGATTATCATATAAAACCTTTAAAGTTAGAAGAAGACATGCCCCCCCCCCAGTGGCACAGCGGTATGTCTGCGGACTTACAGCGCTAGAAACCAGGTTTTGATACCCGTGGTGGGCAGAGCACAGATAGCCCATTGTGTAGCTTTGTGCATAACTTCAAACAAACAAGCAAACTTATTTAAAAATGTTCAAAATATTGGCAAAGTTTCTGGTGTCAAAATTTTTTTACCACTACTTTTTGTTCTGATATTGAGTATCATCTTATTGTTCTCATCAATACAAGATGTCTAGAGTATCACCCGGCACGTTTTACAAGTTTTAATGTTTAACAGGTGGTTGATTTGCTAAACGACCTCTATACGACTTTCGACGATATTCATGAAAACTATGACGTGTATAAGGTGAGAAACATTCTATTTAGTTTATGTTTGTTCAGTACGTTTCAAACACAGAACACGAGAGAATACCAGAAAATATGTGCATTTTCAAGACTTTTCACGCATACACACACATATATGTATCTTGATAAAAGAGTTAGCACAAAGGATCACATATATAAAGTGTAATAAACTTAAATAAGACATGCTTTCCAATAGTTGACAATTCTTCTTCAAGAGAACAAAGGGTTTTGTTCTCCTGAAGAAGAGTAGTAACACATATATGTATATATACATAACAGAGTTATTTGTCTTTCTAACGCCTTAACAACACAAGTTGTGAGGAACTGGCAGAACTGGTTTTGATTAAACGTAACAAAACAACAGAAGTGACATTCCCATAGATCAAGTTTAAGTGTATAAGCAATCGGATTGATGGCTCAAGTTTAGCAGCCATTTCAATTGTTAGTGCGTGAAGCCGACACCAAACAAAAATGGCGAACAACGCGGGTACACACGCTGTCACTATATAGTCAACGAAATAAATGCTGTGTGTAGGGGGAGCTGATATATTTGCTAGTATCTATATAATTTTAAGGATTGTATCTTATAACGTAGTAAAACGCATTTAATAAATAACAGCAATATTATAATTAGCTTTGAAAAGTATTGTTATTTAAACGTTACGTCAAATTTCTAAATAAACAAAATGTTCATCTCAGTTTCGTCCCCCGATAGGATAGCGGTAAGTTTACGAACTTACAAAGTTACAATTCGGGATTCAATTCCTTGCAGATGGACACAGTAGATAGCCCAATGTGGCTTTGCTCTAAACCAAACAGACATATAGATCGAATTCATGTGTAACTATTGTTTATATATATATATAGCTTGTAACAACAGTGTACAATGTAAAATTGATCAAATGTAATATATAATTGTTGTATATATATATATAACTTTTAACACTACTGTTAGTTTAATAATCAATGCTGTGTTTTTTCTACGGACATTAAAACTAAAACACTTAGACTTAATCATTATCTTGGCATTTCTAATTCGTCTAATATGAACCAACCTACAGCAAAAAGTATATAAGTGTATACACATATATATCACACAAAAATTTCACTAATTAATAAGTCATTGTTAAATTAGAATCTATTTCTGATAAATTCATTAGCGCTAAACATTGTTAGAGGGTAACCTTTCTATCGACCAAAGTTTTACAGACAGGTGAGCGTGGGTTCGTTTATTAACACCGAATTACCTTATAGTAGTGAGTTGTTAACGCTCATAAACAGGTAATCGAAAAAGGTTGGATCGATAACCTCAAGTCAACTCGGGTTACGAACCTAGTTAACCCCTCTGAAGGTCAAGAACAATGGCTATACTTCAAAATATTTAACGCAGCTTTTTTTATGTGCTCCATACATGATATTTACGAGTTAATTGGCGGAAGAAAACAATATATAATTCATCACACATAAACATGAAATGAAATAGTTTTAAGAATGTTAAAGCACATAAACAATTCTAATTAGAGGTTCTGTTATCTAATTGAATCATTGTTAGAGGTTCTGTTATCTATTTTAATCATTGTTAGAGGTTCTGTTATCTATTTTAATCATTGTTAGAGGTTCTGTTATCTATTTTAATCATTGTTACGTAAACATGAAATGAAA